TGGGTTTGAGACTTTAGTCTTTGCAACTTCAGGGATCTTATCTATTCACGAACAGCTTGTAACACTCCAAAGAGAAAAGAAAAGTTGAAATAGCATCATATGACCCCTTTAAGTTAAGTTTAATAGTTTTGGTTGTTTTAACAGCAATATCATCTTGACCTTGATATACTTACAAAGGCACTTTACAATGTCATAGTAATATTTTTTTCTGATTACAGTAAATATACCTAATTGTGATGAAAATAATGTCATTATCAAAAAATAAATAAATGAACAAAATTGAAGGCATTTGTTTTTTACTTTTATTTGTTTTAATTTTATTTTCTTCTTTTTTTTAATAATTTGACAAAGTTTCCATGAGAGTCGCTTTAACACAAATGTCACTTCTCTCCTGTCTCTCTGTACAGAATGTGGTAATGCTGATGAGCGACTTTGTGGATTGGCTGATCCCAGACATTCCCAAGGACATTAGCATTCAGATACACAAGGAGAGGAACCTCATCGTTGAGTTGTTCATGAAAGAGGAACGGGGCAAGAAGTACAGGAATACCATCGGTGACCCAAGCCCCCAGCCGCTCCGCTCGCGTCCCAGCTCACAAGCTTAGCCCAGCGCTCGCTCTGATCCCAGTGCTGCGAGGGAAGCAGTAACACGGTCCATTCCAGGGCCTGTTCCTCACTCAGCTCTGTGTCCTGCTCAAACAGAACGGAAAGCCTGTAGAGGACTGGCCTGTCCTGGAGGACCACTGCTGTAAGGATCAATGCTGTTGCAAAGATTGTTAACTGACTGCCGCCTCATTGGTATGCCAGAAAAAAGTTCCAACAAGAAAAATATTTATTTTTTTCTTTTGTCTGTTACTGATTTAAGCACTCTCTTGGATCTTTTTCTATCAGCTATATGCAATTTCTGCAGGTAGGTGTGTTTGGAAAGAGGGCTGTAGGGTTTGTATCGTTTTATCTGTTGACTGAAGAATATTGTATGTAGTTTTGTGAAGCATCGCTGCTTTAGCATTAATAGACAGCAAATGAGCATTTTATTTGAAACTACAATGCTTTTATATTAATTTTAACATGAAAATTTAACATTTATGTTTTCGATATCGATAGGATAGGATTGAACTGAACCAACTCATTTAAAGTGCTTTTTAAATTGTTTAATATTAGACATTTCATTCAGAATATTTCTGGTCAAGTGAATTAGCAGCTATCAATGTCATGCTGTTTCCTCGCTAGGCACTAAGTAGTTCTGTTCTGTCATGGTAATGATTGTGTCTGTTTAGCCTTTAGCTGTCTATATATAAAATATAGACATAAAACACTGCAAATTCATCAAAATAACTACAATCCTCAATCTTGGTCTTTTTTTAGTATTCTAGAATTTCTATTATATGCGGTGGAGTGCTTTTTACAGGATGTCGATTGATCTCGGGGATTTTTGGTAGCGCGTCTGAAAATACTATCAAGCTATGCTGAGAAAGGGTACGCTGTATATAAACCCATGACGTTCAAGAGGCCTTAATATTCATGAAAATGTCATATGGACAGAGATTTGTGTCTGCTTATCTGAATGTTTTCTCTCTCGTCTTGATTTGTGATGCTCCAATGATGATGGAAACAATAGGCTATATCTTGCTATGTTGAATGTGTCTTCCATTCATAGAAATCGTGACAAATAAAAGAGTGGTTTTAATTAAAATTAATATAATATTAATATAAAATATGAATTCAGTCTTAAGATATACTGTTTGGACATATGGCAATGTTTTTCGTTTCTTTTCCCCTTTTTTTGATAAACTAATTATTACACAAAACTATTTCCTCAATTTTTTTAATATACATGCACCCCCCAAAAGACCTTAGTTCTACTATAAATGTAGGCTACAATGTAAACCCATTTTTAGACTGTTACGTCATCCACATACTGTTTACCTCTGTGAAAGAAACCTTTAAATGTTTTATGTCATTGTGGAGTTTCAGTGTCTCAAACTGCTAATGGGAGGTTATGACTGTACTTTGGCTTTTGAATTATGTTTCTAAAATAAATGTCATACATTTGGTATGTATAGCCTTCATTGTTGTTTGGAGATGAAACTCACTGAATTCATATTTGCTGCTTGTGTCCACAGAGTGCTCCCCTTTGGGTTAAATATAAAGAAGGAGGAGCGATATAATAGGAAGTAGGTCATTTCAGTTCCCTCCCTCAGTGTCGCGAAATTCGATTCATTTTGCGAATCGATTCTTTTGAAAGTTATTTGAATCATTTACATCTCTGGAAAAAATGCGCGTTTTAAAGCTACTTATTAAAAAAAAAACACCTCAGTTTCGTATGTGTGTTGGTCATACAATCATAGCACAGTCCAGTGTTCCTGCTGCTCGGCTATTACGTTATTTTTTCCCCGGCTCAGTCCAAATGAACTTGTTCAACAGCTCAAATCATTCGTTTTCAGAAAATACGAATAAAAGGCGGGTTAGTTCTGAATTCTTACAATCATTTTGGTACTACTTTTAGAACTTTGAACCTCTAACGTTAACAAATCAGAGAGTTTTTGACTCGAGAACCGCTCTCAGACTCGCTCAGTCCGGTTCACGAATGAATCAGTCCTGATTCGTGAACTGAGAACATTACAAACAATCGACTCGAAAGAACAATTCGCCCACGAATCGGACACAGCTAGTAAGGAACACGTCGATTCATTATTACGAAAAGTTGTTGGCGGGTGTCATTTACTGGTTTCTAGCTGACCTACCAAAGCAGTGGAGCTGGGTTAGTTTTAGGACACAAGGGAGGGGGTTTTCACGATGCTTTGCTAACGTGAGAGAGCCAGAGCTGAAAGCGAAAGCGGGAGATGCGGTAGTGCTGTACTTGTGTTAGCATTCAAACACATCATGGAAAACCGCAGATTTAGAACCATGTTACTAGCGATCTCTGATAAACTTACTGAAGACAATGTGAGAAGTCTAAAGTTTCTGTGCCAAGAAGTCGGGAAGAAAAAGCTTGAGAAAGTCAATAAGGGGATTGATCTTTTCGAGTGCTTGATCGAAAGAGCCGCAATTGGACCTGATAACACTGAGCTTCTGCGAAAACATCTAAACCAGATCGGCCAGACAGTTCTTCTGAACATAATAGATGAGTATGAGAGAGGAGCGACAGGAAGCCCTCCTGATGTAACGCTACCAGACGCAAAAGAGCTAGGTTTGTATACTTTTACTGAACACTTGCGTTTCATGTCACACTGAGGCTGTTCACTGACAGCAAAAAGTGGATCATAAGACAGCTGCATATCGATATTTTTGCTCTACACTCTAAATGTCTATTATTTGTAAGTGAAACGATGACTTACGGCAGGTTGAGGTAGTTTCTATGATTTTTAAAAAATGTATTCTGTGGTTTTGTACCGCTGTGTCTCTGAGGCGATGTTTACTCTGTAGAGCTGGCTCTTTCTTCTTATCACTAATATGTGAAATGCAAGCTAGCAAGCCGGTTTAACATGTTTTAACATTTATTCCTTTACACGAACTTGTATTTTAGTAGTACTTTTTTAAGCACTATCCTGTAATACAATAGTAGCCTAACTTGTATCTTTTTTCACTAATATCTGTTTGTTATACTCATTAGATACTTACTATCCCAAAATGTTCCATTCCTCTATTACATAAATGGTAACAAATTGCTTATTTTTTTCCTCTCTTGATTCTAATTATGGTGTTAATTATAATTTATGGTCTCATAATAATAATAATACTATTAAGCCTGTTTCATATGCCGGTACGAATTTCTAAGGCCTTTAAACTATCAAGGCAGCTAATCATAACTTTGTTGAAAAACCTGTTGTACACAGTCTACTACATGCTTTCTGTCGGCTGATTGATAGTATATACTTGTTTAGTAAGTAAAAGGACTTTAGGTCGAGGTCTTTTTGCTGTAAAATATTTACTGATTTGTATAAAGTAAAAATCTGAATTATATTGTTATTAAGATGAACATTTATTGGACTGAAGCTGGTTTACTTAACGAAACAAACTATTAAAAAAAAAAAAAACATGTTAAAGGGGTCATATGATGCTGCTAAAAAGAACATTATCTGATTTCTAGTCGTGTCCTCTTTTGGAAGGCCAAACAAAGTAGTTTAGCTTTCACAACGAAACACAGCGTCACACACGGCAGGCTAGAGTGAGGAACGGACAGGCGGGCTGAGTGAGAGGAGGCCAGTGAGCTTGAGAACGGCGCAGCCGGCGGCAGCATGACGAAGTGGATATCGTCCTCTTTTGGAAGGCCAAACAAAGTAGTTTTGCTTTCACAACGAAACACACAGCGTCTTCACGACATGGCGGCAGCGGCAGCAACAATACTACAGCGAGAATAAAAGTTACGCCTTCTTTCTTTGCGTGAACATTTGGGCGGCGTTATGCAAATCTTCCCACACAGTGATGTAGACATGTGGGGGCGTGTTAGAACGAGCCGTTTTAGGTAGGCGTGATTGACTCTTAACTTTTATAAAGAATATCTCTTTGGATTTGAGACTTTAGTCTTTGCAACTTTACAGATCTTCTTTATGCACCAAGAGCTTGTAACACTGCAAAGAGAAAGGAAAAACTGAAATCGCATCATATGACCCCTTTAAAATGTAAGTATAAAAAATGATACAAGACGCTTTTGAGGATTTTTTTTGCACATAACTTAGGCTAATCATTATTAGATTGCATTGCATTATATATTTTGCCCCCACAATAAAAACTACAGAGCTTTGATCATAAAAATAAGCATTTAAATATCATCTCACTAAGACATATCATTGGGAGATACAGAATGACAACTGATATTTATATGCATTTTATGCAAGTAGTCTGGTATACTTTTATAGAAAGTAATTCTATAAAAGTATATAGAATTTATATTCTATATACTTAGAATATAGAATATAAATTCTATAAAAAATAGAATCTAAAAATCTAAAAAAAAATCTGAATAACAACATCTACACCAAATAGCATATTTTTGTTTAGTATGGGACTTTTTTTCAGCTTTAAGTATTCTCATTATATCAAACTATATGGGCCATAAAAGCCATTTTTTCATTTTCTTTCATATTTTGTAAAAAAAAATAATTTTTTGTCATATGTCAAGTCAAGTTTATTTGTACAGCGCTTTTCACGATACAAATCATTGTAAAGCAACTTTACAGCAAATTAAGTTTCTACAATATTTAGTGGTAGCTTATCAGTGGTGACTGTCGGTTAATGTACATATGGCAATCAATTTAAGACGTAATAAAACAGATGATGAACACTATTAACAGCAAATATGTCAGACATTACAGGGTTAAAGATGTACACAAAACTAGTTAAATGAAATAATTTTACCCACTAATCACTAAATGATTTTAAAATTTAAAAACTGTATTGTGAAAAATGTAACAAAAATAGGAGGTAAGACATTGTTATTTGGTGATGCACACAGTAATCAGCCTTTGATGTCATAGCGGTCAAATAATGCTGATTATGTTGATCAGTAATTTCCCCCAAAAAGTATCTAGAATCTCAGGTGAAATATCTCAGGGTGTTTACACGACACCGTTTTCAACTAAAACCAGAAAACGCATGTGCTTTGGTCCTTCATTTAAACGACATCTGCATTTTAGGGGACTGGAAAACGCAAACCTATGAAAAGTGCAAGTTTTGGAAAATGATACTGTTATTGTCCATGTAAACTACAAAAATGCGTGTTACGAGATCAGTCTATATAGTTATGTGTGCCGGTGTGGAGTGTTTCTTTACAAAGTGACATTTTTGTGCATCCGTGTGAACGAGGATCGTTTTAACAGTGTTGTCGTCTGTATGCGAAACTTTTCAAAAACACAAAAGGAAAAACGTTTTCCATTTTAGTATAACATTCCCTTGTAAATGTAACCTTACAGTTGTACAAAGTAGTGGTCAACCGATATATCGCCAAGGCCGATATAACGGCCGATATTTGTCATATTTATGTCATTTCCACTGTGTGCTGTATGTAAAATGAGTGTTACCTTGGCTTTATTTGAAAAAATATATGATTCCCAATGCTCACAAACTTCCCAGAATACTGAGTGCCCTGTTGGTTACAGTGTTTACTTTTTAATTATATTTTTTATTAAATATTTATTTATTTGTGAAAAATACTTTGTCATCTAAAGTATGTTTATTTAACACATTTATTTTTAATCCATTTTCAAATGATTTCAAATTTCTTAAATATGAATTCAAATAAATAAAATTATATCGGCTTTATATCGGCCACCCTGCTTTCCAAGATATCAGCATCGGCTGTCAAAAAAAACAATATCGGTCGACCACTAGTACAAAGTATACAAATGTTATCACATTCAGTAACACAATATGAAACCAAAGTGGCATTTATTTTAAAGAAAGATGAACTACAGCGAGGCTAGTTCTGAGAAAAGGTCTTGTATCATTTGTTTGCAATGCTGCTTGGTTTTTTTATGCAGTGAACTCCATACATTGTTACTTTAGTGTCCAAATACAGTGACTGAACAATCCAAATCTGCCCTGCAAAGAACCACTCAAAGGTTTTCATTCTACAAGAGTTTTATTCAGATTCTAATCAAATTCAAATGTTTTCCATCTCTCTCTCTTTTTTTTTTTTTAGAAAAAATAAACATTGCAACTGAAGTAATTGTTGAACGTTTGGGTAGAAAGTGGCGTCAAGTTGGAAGAAAGCTTGGACTTCAGGACACTCAGCTGGATTGCATACAAGAGAAGCACAGCCGGGACCTGGAGGAGCAGGTGAGGGAGCTCATCAGACAGTGGATGAAGATGAGGAGAGAAGACGCCAGAGTGGAGGATCTCATCAAAGCTCTGCGGGACTGCAGACAGAACCTCACTGCTGATCTTGTGGAGAAAGAGCTCGGTGCACATTGAAAATCACCACCGTTCTATTATAAAACGACAGAACTCTGGGATTAATAATGTGAATTTCTTTTTGAAGAGCAAATGAACCGAATTAAATTGTGTTTACAGATCTTTCGGAATTAATTGTACACAGCCTTGTTAAATATTGATTGGAGGAAATGTTAGATAATATATTTTACATTTGTAATGATATTGCAGGGCATGAAAATGAAATATATTGAATAAGTGTCCTATACGTATTGTTCTCAATCACCTTTGCCTTTGCAAAACAGAAGGATATTTCAGTTTTTACTGAACATACTCCTAAAACAACACTATTCTTCTGTTTGAATGTAGGATGTATGATACTTACAAAGGAATAAAGGGACAGTGATATGTGATTATCATTGATTAACTGTTTGATAAAGCACATTTTGAGCCATAACTTTTTCTTATTCTATACTTCATAATATAGAAACGCTAAATCCCAAGATTTAAATACTGCACAAAAAGACAAGCTTATTACTCAGAAGAGTTAAGTTTTCACTCTCAAACTGCTTCACAGAGAGGCGTGTGTTAAACATGTTTCAGCATGGAGTCCCCTGACATGTCTCAGCTCCACCAGAAAGATTTCTGGAGATTGCATTATTTGGGAACTGTTTATTTTGACTCTTCTCAAATTTGTCCCACCGGTTGTACAGGTTGTTTCCCAAAAGCAGCCTAAATGGCTGGTATAGGGACCACTGATGCCAGTGGTTTCTACAATCTACTTAAGGTTTGGATTACACTACATTTTTTACAAATCTGAACAAATATTAAAACTAGGAATCATGCATTTGCCGAAAACGTCCTCATATGCTAAACGACTGAACACAACAAACTCGCACAGAAGCACACGTCATTGCTGGCAGACAAATGAAAACTAAAATATTTTAAAATTTTACATTTGACATTCTCAGACCGGACAGGTTCACAGTTATTTTTGTTTTGTTATTGTGTCTGTCCTACACATGATTTTCAGTGAAATCGGTCAACTCAAGACTGTCCAAAATCTCCAGACTGCAAATGCGGACAATAATTCATTCAGCGTTTTTGGGTTTATGATGCTTTTGGGTTGAGCTCAAAATTTACTATGATTCCTAAACACTGTTCATGTAACAGTTCTTAATACTTAGATTTTATGATGCTGTTGCCCAGTGACCTGTTTGCATTTTTGTTTGTTTGTCAGTGACCCATATCTGTCAGTGTGTACATCTATGCATGTGCACAGCAATGGTAACGTTTAATTAATCTCTAAAATTACAAAAAATTTGGTAATAACCCCTACATTTTAAAAAGCAACAAACTTTGCAATGCAGCAGTGTTTGAGCTCAATTGTCTTTTCCTTTGAAAAAATTATATGGTTATTTTAAGTACAAGATTTTTAATAAATATCACCATCTATGTTTTTTCCATGATAAATCACCATTCAACTTTTTTTTACTATTTATTTTTGCAGTTCAAATACTTCTTGAAGCGGACTATTAATATGAGGTCATAAAGATCGCATGCATAATTATAAAAGATTTAGAAAATAAAAATGTAAAATTGTTTTTGATAGTTGTAATACTGCATGCCTACTTGAACGGTCACGTCAGCTACCCAGTAACTGCCTGATGACATTTTCAAAATAACTGAAAATGTTTTATTCTTTATTTAAAAAAAAAAACGTAATTTCACATAAACCTGAGGAGAACCAAATTTCCAGAAATCTCCAGTATATGGCAGAATGCGACTCATTTGTTGTTAAATTGTCCTGGCCTCAACTTACAAACCACAAAACTCCTAGAAACAACTTTAATGAAATCATTTAATACCATTAATGTAAAACTTCACTTCATGTTTAAGCAGCATCACAGCCACTATACAACAAGAAGAATCTCATTCACTTTTATTTGGTATTTTTTACATCGATTAGTATTGGCTGTTACAGTAGTTTCATGTAAAACCATGTTCACAGTGGGGCACATTGGAGGCAGAGCATATGGAAATGAAAATATTTCCCATGAGCATTCTCACACACGCACCTTATCAAGACCACAAGAAGAAGTCCAGAGGTTTTGCCCGTTCTCTTATACTTTCTCTCATCTGACAACAGAAACTTCCCTGCGCTCCAAATAAAAACAAAAAGATAAATGAAAAAAGTAAAACAATCCCACCGAAAAGATTTTAGAATCTCCTCCCAAATCCTTTGACAAGAATCCAAGACTCGAGATTCCAAAGGGCAACTAAGAGAATCTGCCCAGTAATAGTTTGTATATTATAAATCCATATATCTTTGTGAAAACATAAAGGTAAATATGCAATGAAGAATCCTTCAATTCTGAACTACAGCCAAAGAAATATACAGTTAAACTAGAACAATCTAACATACAGAAAATATCCACACACTAACACGCTTCTCATGAAAGATTCGCAAAACCTGAATATATATATATATATACATATAAATATAAATATATATATATATATATATATAAGTCAGCGTAGATTTGATCAAATACTTGAAATGATTCTCATACGTAACTGAAATGTGAAATACTAATGATTATCTATCACAACAAATCCAACAGTGGCGACTCGCATGTTTTCCTGTGACTGAACCGTGTGCTACATTAATAGCCGTGTCGTGAATGTCTGGCGTTTTACAATAAAGGCACTGATCTTTCAATAAGTACAAGGACAAAGGGGGACTAACTAACCTCAAAGTCCTCTAGCATGTCAGCGAAAACAAAGAATGAACCACTGAACCTCTCTGATCTCCTCGTGTATCGGGGCATTCAATCCATCATGCAGATGCGTGGCTGTGTATTCGACACAGCTGCCGTAGTTCCTCGCGGCTGCCACAGGGAAGGTGTGGGTCTCGTCCAGAGTGCAGCGGCTGCTCAAGATGTGATGACTTGGACATAGTTAGCAGGGTAGAGGCCTATTTCTCCGCTGACCAGCTGTCCTTTACACCAGCCCTGCTCGTCCTCCTCACCCAGCTTCATTAACTCTTCACCTGAACGACACAAACATGTGTTTCATAATACCATGCCTTCCTTTTCAATGAGACATATGCATAGGATAATATAAAACCAGTTATAACCACAAAATCAATATATAGCAGCAGCCCTGCTATATATAGAAGTAAACATTTGAAGTGGACCAAAAAAGTTTGGTTTTAGGTTTTGATCCACTTCAAATGTTGACTAGTGTATATAACCAGATATAACAAACATTGTACTTAGGACGGTCACCGTGATTTTGCCAAGACAGACATTTTCCTGGATCAACATGATTGTCCAAAAATACAGACCTAACCCTACTCCTAAACCTATCCCTACCTATAATTTATCCCTAAAATCAGAGGGAAATGATGGTTGAATAACAAGGGTGTAGAAGCACCTAACTCTGGTTGTAAGACTAAAATGGACATTTCCTGTTAACTTATCCCTCTATTCTGATTGGTTGATTGGAATGTTGTTCCAGGATCAAAAAGGATGTTGATCCAGGAACATGTTGCACTTGGTGAAATCACATTCACCTACATGTCACAATGACGCCTCAGCCCCCTTCAAAGGTGATTTTAATTTTAGTGATGCATGGGCAGGCGTTTTTTGTTTTAGTCATATTGCATCTCTCATAATTTTCACATTACATGGCTCTGTACCATACTGTATTATAATGGAGATTTTGTTTAACTGCTAGAAGTCAATATTAAATTATATGCTCACACATTTCCACTATTTTTACATTTATATTTTATTTATATACATTTGCAATCATCTAATACTTATTTTAAATCGCTACTACTTTATTAATAGTTTAACTTAATCTTTAACAAATCTTAAAATGAATTTGCATATTTCATATTGCATAATACCACCATTCAAAGTTTGATTTTTTTTAATATAGCGGGGATGCATTAAATTAATCAGGTGTTAGGCAGTGTAGACGTTTATAATTTTACAAAATATTTCCATTTCATATAAATGCTGTTGCTTGCTAGTCATCAAACAATCATGTAAAAAGTATTACAGTTTAAATAAAATATTAGGCAGCACAACAGATTTCAACACTGATAATAATAATAAGAAATGTTTCTTGTGCAGCAAATTGGAGCATATTAGAATGATTTCTGAAGGATCATGTGACACTGAAGACTGGTGTAATGATGCTTTCCCATCACAAGAATAAATTACATTTTAAAATACACTCAAACAGTTATTTGGAATTGTATTAACATTTCATAATATAAATTTTTAGTGTATTTTTGATCAGGCTTTATTGGTTAGCATAAAAGACTTCATTCTAAAACATTAAAAAAAAAAAACAGTGGGGTACATTATAATGTTATAATGTGTTTTAGCATTTTTTTTTTAAAACAAAATTTAAAATTGTTAAATTAAACTTTACCATCAGACATTTATGGGTTTATACAGTAATGATAATAATTACAGGCTTACTGAGACTGGACAGAATTTTAAAAGGGTGGTTGATTGCGATTTCACTTTTTTAACGTTAGTGTGTGATGTTGCTGTTTGAGCATAAACAATATCTGCAAAGTTACGAAGCTGAAAGTTCAATGCAAACGGAGATATCATCTTTTAAAATTCTGGCAGTTTAATGCCTACAAAAACGGCTGGTAGGGACTACAACAAGCTACTTCCCGGGTTTGTGACGTCACAAACCCAGATAAACCCCGCCCTCGGGAAAAGGTAGCAAAGGGGGCGAGGCCATGCTGCACTGCTTTAGAGAAAAGGAAAACTAGGGGTGCACGTAAAAATCTATTCATATATGAATCGCGATTCTGTCTTCTAACGATTCTAATGGATTCACAAGTTTCAAAATCAATGTTCTAAAGCAGCAGTTCTCAATACTGTTCCTCACGTCCCCCCGCTCTGCATCTCTCTCTCTCTCTCTCTCTCATTCAGCTCAGCTCCAACAATGAACTGTTCCAATTATACACTTATTTTCACATAGCTATGAGAAGCGTTAAACATGGCGTGCATGCAGTTGCCGTACTGTATTAAAGCTTAAATCAGGATAAAACCGTATATTAAAAGCTAACAGAAGCCGTAGCATTTACAAATAACAGCATATCTAAAAGTATGAGACAACAACAAACAAAAAACATAGGCCTACCATTAAAAGCCGTGCTTGCACAGGTTCTGCACGATCCTCTTCAATAATATCCTCTGCTTCTCAATCGGCTCAAACTGATAAGCGATATTAACGACGCCGTTGTTTACAATACAACTGGAGCACATGCTGCTGAGGTGAGGGGCGGGACGCTTAGACGGGCACTAGAGGCAGTTTAGCCAATCACAGCAAACTGGGCTAGCTAACCAATCAGAGCCCATCGCCTATTTCTGAGGGCGGGGCTTGCACCACATAAACACAATCAAGCCTAGAAAAAAAACAGTGAACCACCCCTTTAATATTAGTGAATCCCTAATTATCGCTCCAGCCAAATGGCTCCAGACTGGGATGTGCATGACTGTGTGAAGTCAAGCCTTGCAGAGTCAACATACAGTTTCGCAAGGGCTGCAATGAGGTCACTTTTGTTGTTTCACACACCCTCATGCCTGTACAGACACATCACGCATAAACCAGGTTTCAAGCTCAATTTATCTCTATGCACCTACACTCTTTAAAATGAAAACACCTGAAATATTCTAGCATGTATTCAGGGAACTTTAATATTCAACTGCCTCAAAAACCTTTTCCCTTATGAAGGTTTGCTGGAGGAACAATGAAAAAAAATAGTAGGATTTACTTTGAAACAATTTTCACTCTGAAAATTATAGCAAATTTCACAAATAATTACAGAGAATTGACAAGTAATATTTAATTAAATGTGAAATATTAAGTTTTTTTGTAAAACCTACTTCAAAAAAAAAAACTTTTAAGGGAATGATTTATAGTTCTTGTAGGAACTTAATGGTACACTGTGTTTTTCTGTCATTAAAGAAAGTTTCACACATACGGAATACATAATACTGAACTGAAAACATTAGCTTTAGCATCATGCTACATCCACACCACTAGGTGTCAGTATAAATCCAAGATGACTGTGATATCGGGCAATGCAACAAACACAAATACTGAGTACACCTTTAAATCTACTTTACTTGAGTGAAAAAAAATAAACTTCAGTAAATGACCACCAGGTGTCACTCTTGGCATGTCTGCTATTGCACATTTTCTTAGAGTTGCTGGCTGGCATGGATTTTGGCAGTCTTGGTTCATAAATAATCTGAATGTATCCTTTAAGCTTTATATAATATTTAAGGCATGCATGCTGATTTAAAAACCCTCTAGGTGGATCCTGGGACCTGCTCATCTATCCAGTTACGCTCTTCTCTAGCAAACAAGACCGTTTCATTATTTTTGCCCTGGCCATTTAGTTCTGACCTTGAGATTTGATTTACCCTCGTTTTACATTACTTCACAGCTTCCTGCAGCACAGACACTAATGCTAAATATCTTTGGTCTGCTGGCTAGATTAAAGTCAGTCGTCACCTAAACTCAGACTAAGCTGGATCCAAAAGACCTCGAGCCAATCAGAGTGGAGGGCTCTGCTTTAACACTGTCCTCCTAACTGATGCCATTTAGTGACTTTTGGGAAGCCTTTGAATTCAGATAATTCATTACATGCAGGGATCTGCTGATCACCCATGGAAACTTTAGATTTATTAGGAAGCCTGATGTGAACTTTACTCTGAAGCGAAAACTGGAAAACGATAAAAACAAGGTTGTGAATTAGATTCCTTTTCCACTGGAAACAAACGTTTTTGTTACAAGTGTAACAGTTCAGATCAGCTTCATATAAGCGTTTAATTTCTTTGCCCATTTTGTTTTGTTGCTTCTATTTTTGAAAATTCTAGCACAGCCAAATTGGAAAGGAATACATTTGTTTTGTGTCAGTTCACTAGTTCCAAAGCAGTTTCATGGGTTTTGTCTAAATGTGAGGAAGCAGTCTCAAATAAACCCATGTAACATGTAGGGTTTAATCACACACATGCTTAGATTGACAATCCCCATTTCATTTCATCCTTTCCACAATGCCTTTTGAAATAACTGCACTACCATTCACAGCAAGGCATTGAAAGAGCAAAGAAAAGGGGTTTGATGAATCCACAAGCCGCAGCCATGTGTATGTTCATGTGTGTGGCATTAATAAGCATTAGTAGGGATTAATACCTGCTTTAAAGCTCAGCTCATCAGCCTCCTGCCCAGTGTAATCATACAGCGCTTTAACGTGAACCCCGACTACCTTCTCCTCCTCGTCCACCCCGTTGGCTGCGATGTATTTTTTGGGGCTCTCTTCATCAGACCAGTCCGAGGAGTAGTCTTTACCCGCCCTGTTTGAAAAGAAAAGGAATTAGAAAACTGAACAAACTCATGGACAAATCATTTTAATAGAAAGTGGAAGATTAATAACTTGGTAATCAGGTGATCGGTGATAGTTCAGCTAAAAACATTTGAAACGTTTCAAATTTATAGAAGGAAATCTAGTGTAGCGTTAGTTCTGGCAGGTCACGTTAGTCAAGCTCGCGTCAGCTGACTCTCAGCTGATCCCCATCAACCTATGGGAATACGACACCTAAGCATTCATATATAAGGTCCCTCAGTATTATCAGCAGTTTTCGCATTGCTCAATAGCTAATTACCCTCCTCCATACCCAGCTCCTCCTCTTGTCAGTCAGGATTCAGCCTTCTGATTCTCCTTTGAATCAGGCTAATTCTAAAATGTGTACATAACATTATTGAACTTTAACGATATCTGCAATACATTTATGTTGGTTCTGTTCTGTTTACCCTGAGGGGGTTATCGCTGCTCTCCCTGCTCTCATCCATGCTAGGCTAGTTCTTGCCCAGAACAGAACCATACCGCCAATCCAAACTGTATGCTAATTGTCAATCATCTTTGACAATAGTGGTTCTGACAGAATTCAATGTTATTTCATTTTTATTATCTGTGGCATGCTGTGGATTATCACAGAAACTAATTTGAATGTCCTTCAAAATTCACATTACAGTCATGCGCAAACAGTTGAAGTATATTTTGGTTAGCGTATGCACACAATGCACATGATGTAAATTTAATCAGGAAGAGCAGTGGGGAGAGGACGCAACCCTGAGGGGTGCCAGTGCTGGTGGTGCGGTTGTTGGATGTGAATTTACCAATTCTCACTAGCTGTTGCCTATCTGTCAGAAAGCTGGTGATCCATTGACAGATAGAGCTAGGGACGAAGAGCTGGGTTAGTTTGGTCTGGAGGAGTGTTGGGATGATGGTGTTACCAGCTCCAGGCCCTTTATCCAGCTCATGACTGAATTGGTGAGTGGAAGTGGAAGATCAGGGTTTCCAGGTCTTCATAACAAAACCAGCCCAATTGGTACTCAAAACTAGCTCGATAGACCCTTCGCAAAAACCCGCCCCCTTCGTTATTGTTGCTATGTCCGTCAAGCCATGGCGCTCTCACGCTACATCATGTTCTCACGCAGTTAAAAATAAGTCACAGAGCAAAGAAAAAACTGACAACACACCAACAGATGAGACAAAGCAGGTTACTTTTGGTATGAAACAAAGACTCAGCTTTCAAAATTTGTTGTTTTTAAACAATAAATAACATTTTGTGTCGTGACATCACTGTAGCGCCTCAGTTCAAGCGGCATGTAGTCTCGCGTAGCCAGACCTTCAGACTGACGGCTGAAGGTCTGGAATCCATGGCAGCTTTCATTGGCCAAGGCCCGCCCATGAGGCCATTTGACCGACATGTCAAACAACCAATCACAGGGCATGGAAATGTCGCCACAATAACAGATCGGTGTGTAAAACTCTCGGATGTATTTTAAAGATTCTATGCCGCGAACTTACATTTTTTCACATACTTTTGAAAATCCAGCGTTTAGTTTATCCTGATAAGCGCTCATCGTCACAGTTGTAAACATGACGGCTCTCTTCTTTCGTGAGGGGGTTTGGCGGCACGGCATCTTTGTTTCCAGGCGGAACGTTAAAGAACGCGACACACACGTCTCCCGGAAATCCTGTATAATTTAACCAATCCGACGACGACTTCGAAACTCCTGAAGTGTTTCCACTTTTGTGTGCCATATGCATCAGATGTTTAGCCAACGGTCCGTGGGCATGACGTCTGAGGCTGAGAATAAGCGGCATATGAACCGATCATCTCTTCCTCTTTACTAGTTACAGCATGAAGCAAACATGAATGAACATCAGAAGGTATCCTGTTTCAGCCGCGTAGTCAATACACCCCATTTTTGGAGTTCAAGACCACCGACATGAATCTACTCTTCTGTCTGGTTTGTTTGTCGGACAAAATAGCAGATTCAGTGGTATGATTGGTCAGATCTCCTGTCAATCGAACTCCTGGTGAAGGGTCAATTGGTTATCAAAAAAAAAAAAAACAGCCCATGGCAGCAACATAAATGCAGCCCAATTCCACGAAAAAAACGCTGACTTGGCAACACTGTGGAAGATAATGACATGCTCGGGAAGTGGAAGAAAGAAATGCAAAAAAAAAAAAAAAAATGTACACAAAAGTATTTTTTAAGGTGCAGAATGTTATTAGTCGATTGCACAACAGTGGTCTTTGGTTATAGCCAACAGGAAGAGAAAGCACCTTCCTTTTGTCTGCTGCGACAAATGCAACAAGGTGAGGTCAGAAAAGTTATGCGTGTGGAAATTGGCATTGAGTGGTCAAAAAGTCACAGATTGGAAAAAAAACAACTTGTTTTTAATGGGAGGGGGACAGAATATTGTGAAAAATTGTTCCTGCGCAGACCTCAAGATGGAAAACAAACTACTGAAGATGCAACAAAAACAGACACCTATGCTGATGAGCTTGTGTGAGGGTTAAGAAAGAGACAAAGACATTCTGTCAGTGATAACTCCTGGAGAAATAGTGCAGACACTGGATAAGGATGAAACTTTATAAATGTCAACAGCATGTGTTGACTGCCTGTGTCTGTGCATGCCATCAAATGGAAAACCTTTTGAAAGGCTATGCATTCGGCTGTATGCATACGCCAAACATCTGTGTCATAACTGAAGTTTACTTTGGGCTTAAGGAACAAAAGATTCCAGAGGGCTTAAAAAGCAGACATTTGCAGGTAGTGTTTTTGTTATAGCACTTATTAACTCTTCCATACTAACATTTGTTATTTATGCAATAATGGTGTCTCAACTGTCCTTTTAGTGGTGGAACTACTTTTCCAGGTGGATTAACTTCTTATGCATCTCCAACACATTTCCACTGGGTGGATTTCACTGTACATAAACTATGTGGTATCCACATGTAACACTGTTTAAGTTTTGTGACAATACTTTCAAAACTGTGTAAAGTTTATCTCAGTGTAATGTCTTGCCCCACAGATGCTGTCAATAGAGCTCAACTTGTACTGAACCCGGAACATTCCTTCAATATTTACTCAAAGAAAAATAAGTGTAAAGCAGTACTAGAAACAAGGCTACATATTGATTTTCAGAGGAGACTGCAAGGAGCAAGTAAAAGGTGTAATTGTTAAAAACTTGATTTAAGCATACTGCTCTGAACAATTTTTAGCTTGGAACTAATGTTCACAAATGATTGGCTCCTGCTTTCTTCTAAATGAGGCGGTTTGGCATCACAGCATATTTGTTTCCAGGCTGAACGTTAAAGAACACAACACACACGTCTCCCGGAAATCCTGTATAATTCAACCAATCCGACGACGACTTCGAAACTCCTGAAGTGTTTCCACTTTTGTGTGCCATATGCATCAGACGTTTAGCCAACGGTCCGTGGGCATGACGTCTGAGGCTGAGAATAAGCGGCATATGAACCGATCATCTCTTCCTCTTTACTAGTTACAGCATGAAGCAAACATGAATGAACATCAGAAGGTATCCTGTTTCAGCCGCGTAGTCAATACACCCCATTTTTGGAGTTCAAGACCACCGACATGAATCTACTCTTCTGTCTGGTTTGTTTGTCGGACAAAATAGCAGATTCAGTGGTATGATTGGTCAGATCTCCTGTCAATCGAACTCCTGGTGAAGGGTCAATTGGTTATCAAAAAAAAAAAAAACAGCCCATGGCAGCAACATAAATGCAGCCCAATTCCACGAAAAAAACGCTGACTTGGCAACACTGTGGAAGATAATGACATGCTCGGGAAGTGGAAGAAAGAAATGCAAAAAAAAAAAAAAAAATGTACACAAAAGTATTTTTTAAGGTGCAGAATGTTATTAGTCGATTGCACAACAGTGGTCTTTGGTTATAGCCAACAGGAAGAGAAAGCACCTTCCTTTTGTCTGCTGCGACAAATGCAACAAGGTGAGGTCAGAAAAGTTATGCGTGTGGAAATTGGCATTGAGTGGTCAAAAAGTCACAGATTGGAAAAAAAACAACTTGTTTTTAATGGGAGGGGGACAGAATATTGTGAAAAATTGTTCCTGCGCAGACCTCAAGATGGAAAACAAACTACTGAAGATGCAACAAAAACAGACACCTATGCTGATGAGCTTGTGTGAGGGTTAAGAAAGAGACAAAGACATTCTGTCAGTGATAACTCCTGGAGAAATAGTGCAGACACTGGATAAGGATGAAACTTTATAAATGTCAACAGCATGTGTTGACTGCCTGTGTCTGTGCATGCCATCAAATGGAAAACCTTTTGAAAGGCTATGCATTCGGCTGTATGCATACGCCAAACATCTGTGTCATAACTGAAGTTTACTTTGGGCTTAAGGAACAAAAGATTCCAGAGGGCTTAAAAAGCAGACATTTGCAGGTAGTGTTTTTGTTATAGCACTTATTAACTCTTCCATACTAACATTTGTTATTTATGCAATAATGGTGTCTCAACTGTCCTTTTAGTGGTGGAACTACTTTTCCAGGTGGATTAACTTCTTATGCATCTCCAACACATTTCCACTGGGTGGATTTCACTGTACATAAACTATGTGGTATCCACATGTAACACTGTTTAAGTTTTGTGACAATACTTTCAAAACTGTGTAAAGTTTATCTCAGTGTAATGTCTTGCCCCACAGATGCTGTCAATAGAGCTCAACTTGTACTGAACCCGGAACATTCCTTCAATATTTACTCAAAGAAAAATAAGTGTAAAGCAGTACTAGAAACAAGGCTACATATTGATTTTCAGAGGAGACTGCAAGGAGCAAGTAAAAGGTGTAATTGTTAAAAACTTGATTTAAGCATACTGCTCTGAACAATTTTTAGCTTGGAACTAATGTTCACAAATGATTGGCTCTCACAAGGGACTGGGATCAAATAGGTTAATTTGATTAATCTTAATAGCAACAACAACAACAACAACAACAACTACATAATGCTAATAGATCTCAAAATGTTCTTGTCTTGAAGATATGGTTAGCTCTGTTCCACAACCTAGTGAGCTAACTTGCTATTTGCTGCCTAAATAGGCAGCTGCCTTCTAAGACAATATTCTAACCTACAGTAAATGGAACCTCAAAAATGCTTAACTTAGAGAAGTTTGGTTCACACATCAAGTGAAATCGGTGAGACTAAAACGTCTCGGTTTATCAAAATGACTGATAAAAAAAAAAAAAAAAAATCGACAGTCCAAGCATCCACATTACTGACCCATTTATCTGTTGTAGCTTATCCACTTTGCATTCACAAAATAGCCACTGACGCAGTCAATAGGTGCCGTCTGAGAAGCGCTAATTGAATGTCACAATTTTACTCAATGATTTTGGCCCTCCAGAACCATTTCCGCCAAAACCAGATACATTTCTGACTGAATCTTTTCGGTTGCCGGAGTTTGTGTATCACTACTGCATAACATTGCTGCCTACTTCTGTAACAACCTTTGTGTAAGGCGTGCATCCATGATTCCTTAAAATACTGTCTAGGTAGGCTGCTAACTAGGTTTTAGAACAGAGCTGTTGTTTGTACTCCGAGAGAGGAGGTCAATAAAAGAGAAAGTTGCACTGACACTCCCGGTGCATAGCCACTTAGGTTCTCGTAATAGCCATCCGCCTCAAGCCACCTGTGGGTTGAAGAGTCAACAAAGACCAGACTAATAAGCAGGAAGCTGCAGAAGGCCACATTTAATACTGCAATTTAACAGGCATTCTCCTGTGTGCCCGTGTTCCCTGTGAGAGAGATTCAGATTCAACACACAAACATGAGTCCTCTAAATTATCTGTACCAGACCTTCTCAGTTCTTTCCAGGCACTTCATTTAGCCAATACCTTTGATCTCCCTTGATCCTGTGTTAACATGCTACCCTAACACACACACACAAACACATATATACACAAACAGTTTGAATACGCTAACTTAGAGCTAATTGGTGTAGTTGGTTCTATAAGCAGTGAGTGAAGCCCTCAGGGAAGAACTGTTGCCAGGATAATTAAAAAAACAATAGCAACCCTCCACTTCTAAATACAACACTGTAATTAAAAGTTGGATTATTATTGTAGCAGAATATGAAACTCAAGAATGTGTGTATCTATATTTGGGTGGCTGACAAATGTAAATTTTTCAAATATTGTGTGAATTTTGAGGAAATGTTGTTTTCATGTTGCAACAATTCTGTGTGCACCTTATTTGATATCATTAAATTGTATAGTCATATTGGCCATCAAGCACTCTGCTCTCCAGATCAGTATTGATTTTTTTTTAAATACACATTTATTAGATCAATTGCTAAAATCTCATTTGTCACCATTTTAATCAACTTCCCCCCCCACACAGAACTGAACTGTAAAAAGGGGCCAAAATGTTAAATTTAAAGGTCCAAAAATTAAACTTGATTGAGGGTTAAATGTATTAAAAATATACTGTATATATATAATTAAACAAATTTTTAAATAATATTTTACATTTTTCAAATTATTTTTAAATGAACTACATTGTTTTTACATTTCAAATGTTTTATTTCAATGCAAACATAATTATAAATTATATAAATATTTTCTTGCGCATGAGCATATGAGCATGCAGTAGTCACGATGTACCTCGTAGTTTCCTGTGGAGTCTTCGGGGGTTCGTCTCCTGCTGAGACAATATTAGTCAGAGTGACCACGTCATCAGAATGACTGTTTCTGTCTCTTCGACTGATGGATCGGTTTGCTTCTGGTGACCACTCCTGTTAAAACATGAAATGTGAAAATCCTTAATTTGCATGTAACTAATTTGTGTTATACTCACTACCTCCCATTGCTATAATGTTCAGATTTTAATGATGTATTTAAAAAAAAAAAAATCTTATATATTATTTAAATAATATAATGTGTGCACGCACATATGCATGCAAATTTTACAGGATTTTGTGTTTGTGTTTTACAAGCAATAAGCAATGACAATGCAATAAACAGGCATTTACATTATATTGTCACTGCATTATTTCACACCCAGTTTTCCCTTTTAATAAAACACAAGTTCAAAACAAAAATATACTCTTTGGTGTGTGTGTGTGTGTGTTAATCCATCCCTGTAAATAACTTTGCCTTAAAGCAGAACAAGAATACAGATCAGTCACACAATGTGACTGTGACATAACAGCACTTATATTCACAGTCACATGTGGGACCATCATCCAGTCAGCCTTCTATCACTGTGCAGAGAGAGTGAGTCTGTGCCTTTTTACAGCCACACAAAGGACTCCAGTGTGCTGGCAGAACAGGGAGGATGCCAGAAGATTCCTCTGGAGGTGTCACTTACCTGGGCAAACCTGACTAAAAGCTTAGTTTTACTGTAGCTCTGTGACTGCTATTCGCTCTCCTACTGCTCAATTAAACATTCACACCATGGAGGATTTTTAAATTTCAGACACTCAGATTCCATGGCACATCTGTACACACACAGTTGTGTTATGTACAAACCTCATTTACACAAATGGAGATGCTGACACTGCCACTGTGTGTCTGCGTGTGTTTGTGTTGTGGGGAGGGCTGGGAAGGAAGGAAGGGGGGGGAAGGATTGCCATTAGGGAGAGGGATCCAACATTCCAGAACCCACTCGTGGGCCATGCAAAGACAACAGCTCATTCACACTCAGCCCATTAGAAATTCACCACCACTGGAGCCTGGGGCCCAAAACAGCTCTATGGTTGACAACTCCACAGCAGTGTTTTGGTCCATTAATGCTGTATCTATTCTAAGCAAATGTTACCGTTTATGTTTGTAGTCTGGTCTGTGTGTTTCCTGGCATTCTGTGATGTAGCAAACATTCTAAACAAAACAGTATTTTGCAGAGCAGAGAACTTACTATACCTCTAACTGGGGCCATTTCATGCTCATGCCGGGCCCATGGGTGTTCCTCCACCACCTGAGGTCCTCTGCGTCATTGGCTGCATTGATGGTCTGGCTGAGGTCTCGGTACAGGCCTCGAAATCTGCATGGGGATTTTCCACATACTCTGTCAGGACAGGTTTTTATTTATGCACAAGGAAGTGCATGTTTAAAAAATACAGCCAACATCAACTTTAAATGATGGTTGTTGCTAAGACAAACATCGCTATTAATATTGATCATACCTTTAAAGCAACTCACAGAAATATTTGTAGACATATCCTGCATAGTGTCAAAAAAAAACATTCCATTCAGGGTACAACAGTTTAAGAGACAACTTTGTACATTACCTAATATCAGTACCTTGTTGTAGTAGACATATTTACTTAAATGGGTAATGCACCACTGGCAAGACAAGCTTTTAATAAAACGTGGGTATTTATGCAGCAGAAATGCGATTTCTTTTTAAAAAATTTTTTAGTGTTACATGACTAGAGAAAAAGAGAGGAAAATGGTTGTCATTCCCTTTTGCCAAAAACCTTGACAACCATAACGCATTTTTGCGCAATATGTAATATTGTTTTATTAAAATATCCAAAAACCCCTAGAACAGTGTTATATATTTTGCTGACTTGTGTACTTACATTATCCCAAATGTTTCGAAGAATGTTTAAATCCAGAGAAATAAGCAATTTTAACTAGTGACACGGACCGTGTCTATAGTGTCATCGTCTCGCCTGCCAATGACGTCATAACCCCTCGATTTCCAGTTTTGTTTTGTAGAAAGCATGGAAACACCAAAGACGCTTTAATATGTTGTGCGTTTTAATAGACCGGTGACGACCGCACAGAGTAGCATTATAACAGAACTTTCAAATGCATCTAGTATGATAAAACAGCCCTGCTTTTTTTCCCCACATACGCACGACCGGAAGGAGCAGAAGCAGTCGACTGTGGCATAATAAAAGCTCCGCTGCTTTCGAGCCGTGTGTCACGCTCGTTCAGCGGCCTTGTTTCGCTTCGACGGCTTTCAGCCTCACCCTGCTTCATTCTACTACGTTAATAAATCATTAGCTCATCCATGAACATGATTTATGCCCGAGTCCCGTCGGATTGCATCGGCTGTGGGGATGAAGACGACAACTCCCATGATTCCACACTCAGTCACGGCGTCATCAAACTACGCCTTTGTCTCTTTGTTTATTTTGAATACGCGCCCTCTATCGGCAAAAATTACATATTGTGCCTTTAATATGTATTGATCGGCAAGCAAGCAAACATTTGCTTTTATTAGAAATAGCAACATGCTTAAACCACCCACTATACCCTAGTATCCTGTTGATGAGTTTTGTTCAGACAAACACTTCTATATTTAAAAGTAAAAAATCTAGTTTTTAGTTTCATAACCACTGCTAACAGAACAAAAGAGGCAGGAACATTAAGTACCATGGAAATACAAAGAATGAGGGAGGGATAAAGTAAACAAAGATTCTTGTACATGAAACTAAGCTACATATGATTACCACGCAGCTCAGCACCAGCCCTGTAATTGCAGCTCAACAAAAGTAAACAATTGTGCAAAACTGCAGAGACCGGTTTGAAGGGTGTTGTTTTTGTTGCTATTCTGAACATGTAACTCCACGCTGCTTAAGCTAACACCGAAACACAAAACGAAAGGAGGCATTTGTTCACTGATTAAAAAACAAAAAGGATACATCAAGTCACCCTAGCTTTCAGCTCTTTTGAAATGACCCTGGTTAATAGTCAACGACATGCTCAGAATTCCTCATCAAGTAAACACAATGATAACAGAGAGCCTGGAAAAACAAATAAGCACTTATTAATGGTTAACATTTATTTCCGTTTTAGCTATGAGACACATAAATGACCAGAAATTATTTCAAGAGCCTGAGGTTACTGAAATTGCGGATTTAAATCAGGATTTGACATTGAGTAAAATTTGAGACGGAGCTTCCCATTTGTCTCATGTCATTTTTAATTGAACAACTCAACTGTGTCGAAATCTGTGCCTGTCAATCTCTCAGTGGCTCGGTTTCAAACTCTAGCAAGCCACCCAACTAGACAGCATTTGTAGACTGCTCAAAACAACTGGAAGCTAAATTCTGCTGTCTTCGAAGATATTCAAATCTTCATGGATAAACTCAGAATAATGTACTTTGCTAGTTTATTTTAGCTATCCAATTCCAAAAGGTACCGAAGAAAATATCTATTCATATTGCATCAAGCTCAGTGAACAAAATTGGTTGCATTTTATTTTACAGTACGTGCACTTAACTGGACTTACCCAAGAAAGTACTGATAATATAACTACATGGGTTAGGGTTAGGTTTAGGGATAGGTTCAGGGTAAATACCTAGTTGTTATCCAGTAATTGTAAATATTATAACAAGTACATAGTATGTACATGTGGAACAGGACTGTGAAATAAAGTGCTACCATAAAAAAATTTATCTAAGATGCCAGACAGAGAAATCTTGACAAATTATATTAATTCAAAAAGTACTTACTCAATGAAAACTATTTTACTGTAATAAAAACAGCCCATTTTACCAAATATTTGTTTTTATGATTAGACTATTGTATTTTTAGCTCAAGTACCATTAAAAATATTTATACTATTAAAAATAAGCAATTAATTGAAAATTATTTATTCCACACAATAAATCCATTTTTACCCAATATTTGTTTTTTTATGATTATCAGTGTCTTGTTTAGCTCAAGCAACATTGCTAACTCTATAGGTCTTAGTCGGGGTAGATACTGTTTTAAATTTTACATGGATGAAAACAAAGCTATGAGGATAGACTCACAGCCTTTAAAATGGCACACACTGTATGATTTATATAGGGATTTGTCTACTGAAAGTCTTTTGGAAAGATGCATCGTCAGCTAAACAATCGGTATGTTGTTAAAAAACAGTATAATCCATTTAATACACTGTACTTCTATCCGTCAAAGCCTCATTTTTGCATGTCAGAAATGAAAGATGGCTCTACCCTGACTAAGATCTATTGGAAGTGGCCTTCTAAATACCTTGTTTTATTCAAATTCTATAGAAGTATCACATGTATACTTTGTGGATAAGGCAATCCCAGAATGCGCTGTGACAAGCCAGTGAGAATTATTAGCCAAGAAGTTGGTTAAAGTCAAGGAAAATGCAGATTATTCATATCTGCATACTATATTAAATACTAAAACAAACTGATTTAAATACTGTAATCTAATTAAAAATAACTTTACAATGTGTGTACTACATATTTATTATGCATAGTAAAGAGTCATTAGCAGCATTAGATTCTACTGGACTCTTCTCTAAATCACTGAAGAACTGTTTGTGTGGTGCATGTGATTTGTTGTCGATGAGTTTCAAATCAAATATTTTGATTAGGATGCTGTCCTAGAAGATAAGTATCTAGTAGACAGTGAAGCAGAGAGACTAACCCATCATTGCTGGAGAGGTCCATGTGCTGGTGTATGTCCTGCAGCACTTCTTTAAAAAAGCGAAGCCTCTTTTTTTCTGCCTCCTGTGTGATTTCAAACACTTGCTCCATGTCTTCCATGTAACGCGGGTTACAGCGATTCAGCTCGTCCAGGGCTCTCTCATAACGCTCCTTAGCCTGAGGGAAAACATCCAAACAGATGTGCAAGTTCATGGGACAGAGTCATGGGACACAGTTTACAAGGTCAATTCCAAAGATCATAATTTCCTGTTCAGTATACTCAGAATACATCTAATGGAACAGTGCATATTCACAATGTTTGGTTCGAGAGTTGTTGAATCTGAAAAAGCAAGATGTACCACTTTCTTCATTTATGAGTCCCTTTGGATCAAAGCATGTGCTAAATGAAATGCAAATGCCTTTCATGACTGTCTATAAAACAGACAATAAAGTCTGCTTTTATAAATGATAGAAAAATTAAAGCAAAATCCTTTTAAATACATAAAATCGGGTGATGTTTCCCTTTGAGGAGACAGAAACTGCAGGAAGTATATTTTTATGAATGAAACTACACATTCAACAACATGTTATTCACACCCATAATTTTGCATTGTCACAACAAGTCCAAAGACATCATCACAGGGGCCTTACTGTTGACACAAGCAACAAACAAGCCTTGTCTTGTCTAAGTTTATGGAAATTCTGTCATTTCAATCCCCACCCATCTCCTTCAGACTAGACATGGACAGTTGCAGACAAGCTAATACAGTAATTACCAATGTAAAAATTACTATAATCCTTAATAAAACTGAAAAACTGTTGTGTCTGTGCTTTTTCTCATGCTACCTTCTCCGCCTCTTGGGTACATTTCTCCAGGCGCTCTGTGAACTTGCGGGCCTCTTCTGGGGATTTGGTGGGGTCAGCCTTGGCATGAGTTTCACGGGTCAATGCCGTGCGCTCTTCCTTCCGGGCTTGGTGATAACTCTTTTTGGTAGACTCCACCTACCGCAGAGAAGATATTTACACAGCCATATTATTTACTCATTACGAAATATACAGTTAAGTACAAACATGATTCTCTTTAAACATTGTTTAAAAGGACAGCTAACCCAAAAACAAAGATTCTGCCATCATTTATTCATCATAATGTTACACCAAACATGTATGGTGGTCAAGCTATATACTAAGCTATCATATGGCCTTAGAAGACTAGAAATATAACAAACAAATCATATGGACCAGCCAAATTAGGTTTTTGGTCATTCGTCATTTGGTTAGCTTGACAATCACTGGTCACTGATTACCATCTACTAGTTGTATGGAAAAAAAAAAAGAGATTTCTGAGTTATGTCTAAGATTTCTGAACCAAATTTACAAACATTTACAAAAAACTTGAGTTTAAGTGCCATTACTATGAGTAGATGATAACATCAGATCAGATCATTATGGGTGAGCTGCCAATAAAAAACAACAACAAAAAAAAAAAAAGTAATTAAAGTAAAAAAAGTAAAAAACAAACAAACACACACACAACAAAACAACAAATCAAACGAAAACACAAACAAAAAAAAAAAAAAAAAAAAAAATGATTTGCCATTGTTTAATGGATGAAATCCATACTAATGGCTTTGTATTCTGCACAGGAGGAGACTCACATCCTTCAGTTTTCGGACCCAGGGTTTCTGGGCCTTGCGGAAGCCTTCGTCGGCGTCTTTGGTCTCACGGAATCCACCAATCATTTGCTTGTGGAAGGCATCCTTCTGCCAGTTTCTAATCTTTTCGCTGTCTTCAACAATCAGTTTCTCTTTTAGTTCCATATGGATCTCACTCAGTCTGTCTGCCGCATTCATGAAAGCATGCCAGGCCTTTTCCAGAGTCCCATACTGTGAGCCTGCAGGACAGAAATAAGAATTTAGCTTTATCTGTCAGCTCCAAACACTGGATAATTGCTTAAAAGCCCAAGTCTACTGTATAATAATTGTAGGTCTGTGTGTCTGCCCCTTTAAGGTCACGTGGTCTGGTTAGTGAATATGTGGCCAGCCTGAGGCTCTCTCTGGGAGGTAATCCATTCATATCCTATGACTTTTCTTAAGGTCAATACAAAATATTGTGGTTTGTTTAAACTGCATACATTTACGGTTTATTTTTTAAATCAAACATTTAGGATTTACTGTTTTGCTGTTATTTTTACAAGTGCTTAAAACACATCCATGCATGCAGGTAGTGTAGTCAAAATCCAATATATCCAATATACACCGGTTGCTAATGGAATGATGCATGATATAAAGTGATAGATCACTGACACATGGCACAACTCCATATTACACTTTCATACCTTCTTTTCCCCAAACTTAGAAACTACTGTGCAACTATTAAGGGTTTGGCAGAAGCACTTATCAGCTCATGGGAACAGAATGTGTTGATGTAACTGTAGAGGCATGCATCTATCTAAGGAGGATGAACGATGAGACTCAAAGTCATGCTCACCTTTCTCCACAACACCCCTCCATTTCCTGGCCCAGTCACTCAGCTGCTGGGAGTAGCCCTTCTCAATCTTGGCCCGCTCCTGGAAACAGCTGACCAGCTCATTGCATAGTTTGTAGCCATCGTCAATGCGTTTTACGGTCCTCTTGTAGTTCCCAGGCTGACAAACGAAAGTCATGTTAGAGTCATTCCATTTCTAAATCTGACTGATCCAGTTCTCAAGTTTAACTCACTGACTCAATGATCTAGTCACAACAGTTAACAGCAAGGATTATCAGTGGATTAGTACATTACAGTCTAATAAAGGTTAAATGTAGGATTTTAGAATTAGATTCATTATGACTCCCTTAAAATCGAAATGACAGTATTTATACTTCTGTTATCAAATGAAATGAGAAGAAAGGATCTACAAAAGCATGGCCTTTATAGCAAATCTCATAAAACTTGGGGTAAGCAGTGTCGTATGAAGGGGTAAACTGAATTATAAGCAATTGTAACATTTTCTAATAGTGTTTGTAATGACATTTCCTGCATTTGAAGGCAAAGCTCACAATCACCAGCTATTAGTTGAGCCACTGACATAGCTTACCCCAAAGCATTTGGCAAACTTTACCCTAGCTACCATTTAAAAATAAATAAATAAATAAATAAATAAATAAATAATTAGCCATGGCTAATCTTTATATTGTTACAGTTTTATACAATGTCAATTGACCAATACATTTGATATAACTTTTTACACCTGGTAGTGACTAAATTTATATTATATTATAAACTTATTTATAGCATTATTTTTTTTCATGCGCATCTTTCAATTGCAGGCAGCTGTATATGAAGGGCCCTTACTAAATACATAATGATACAAAACAATAAGCACAGTTTGTTAGATTAGGGGAGCAACACACTTACATAGTGGCACAATCTCCCCCATTCTCCTCTAAATTACTCTCTGTATTACAGTGACAAGAATAATGGCAAAATAAACATTTCACTTTCACTTTACTATCTAAAAGCACTTCACATCTGTTAGTTTTCTCCAAGACAAGTATAGACCTGATCCAAGCATGCTTGAAGAAACAGTGGAGAAGGGGTACAACTACTACAAATCTTGCCAGGGGCGGAAACCTCTTAGAAAGCGCATGGAAATGTCAGATCTGCAGGGATCCGTTCCTGTAGTCTTTAACTCCCTGGCTGGACGCCACAGTATGCTGCCCACTCTGCAAGGAAGATCTGTGTGCATATGTGCATTTGCGGTTGGGGATACTTACCTCCCAGAAGCTGTCCCAGCTCCCAACGTCTTGCAGATCACCGTTGGAAGACATTTTGGGGTCACCCTTGCAGCACGGAATGATGGCGGCTGTCTGTTAAACTGCAAAGAACAAGACATGAAATTAAATAGAGCCAACAACTGTAGTCAGTAACAGCAAAATTTTGTTACAACAAATTAAGACAACCAAAGACAGCAGTCTTGCCAGAGAAGAAACCAGTTCATCCAGTCTCTGCTCTACAAGGCACAGGCCCTCAAGTTCAATCCAACAAACTAAGCAAAGGCAATTCAAAATATATTCCATAAACACTTCACTACGGTCTTGCCAGCAACCTGTTGTGACCCGACACTCCTTGGCCTCTACGGTTAAGACATCTGCCCAGGCAAAGTAATCCTGTATTCCAATTCAAAGAAGAAGCCAGCGTAGGCCAGTCTCACTTCTGAGTGGCTTTGTGTCTGCCTAAGGCAACCTAGGTAAGGCAGAAGCTTCTCTGCCCCAGTCTGGGTGGAGTAACAAAAAAAAAAAAGGATGCCAGTCACCCAGGTCCTCCCACTACTTTGTTTCTGGTTGAATGTTGAGGAAACTACCAAAAATAAAGGTTCTTTATTGGCATTGATGGTTCCATAAAGAACTTTTAACATCCACAGAAGCTTTCCATTGCACATAGGATTCTTTATAGTGGAAGAAAGACCTTTAGATCATTAAAATGTTCTTTACACTAAGAACAAAAATGGTACTTTTAAGAACTGTTCACTGAAAGGTTCTCTGGAGAATCCAAAATGGCTCTTCTATGCCATTGCTGCACACTCCTATAAATAAAGGTTCCTAAAGTGGGGGTTTCACATTATACTCTTAAAAATAAAGGTTCCAAAAGGGGGTTTTCACAGCAATGCCATAGAAGAACCAGTTTTGGTTCCCCAAAGAACCTTTCAGTGAACAGTTCTTATAAGAATCATTTTTTAGGGTGAAGAACATTTTAATAATCTGAAGAACCTTTTTCCACTGTAAAGAACCTTTTGTGGAATGAAAAGGTTCCATGGATCATGGTAAAGGTTCTTTGTGGAACCACTGATGCAAATAAAGAACCTTTATTTTTAAAAGTTTAGAGGCATTTGACCTGGGTAGTAGCCACCAGGGCGATCTCTTTAGAACTAAGTATTACATTCGCACTGCTGGTAGGAACTCTGAAGTGCCATAAGCCGGCTGACAGTGACATCATTTAAGCGTTACATTCAACAATGTCAATAACTAAAGGACGGAGAAGTGTCTGGACTTCGCCGTCAGTCCATCTATTTCTGTTTTCCATATCTGTGGAGTTAGTTCATGGAGTAAGTATATGTAAACTGTGTGTTTACATGGCTTTTTTTTTTTTTAAATGGTGGGTGCCATTGTTTTGTATGGCATGAGTTCAGCCAAATAATATACACCTACATCACTAGGAGTTCCTATTGTGCTGGCTTAGTCCCTACTAGACCCTATTAATTAATGTTCCTACTTCCTATAAATAAATCAAATCAGGTATTTCCACCAATAGTTAGAGGAGCTATAAAAACATTCATCCAATGCCATAGAAGAACCAGTTTGGGTTCCCCAAAGAACCTTTCAGTGAACAGTTCTTAAAGAACCATTTCTTAGTGTGAGGAATATCTGTATAATCTATTTTCCACCATATAGAAACCTTTGTGCATGGAAAGGTTACATGGATGTTACAGGTTATTAATTGAAACATAAATTCCAATAAAGAATCTTTTTTTAAATAGTGGAAAATCCCCTTTTATGTGAGCTTTATTTTTTAGAAGTATAGCAAGATAAAAATATGTCCAATGACATGGAAGTGTCCATTCACTATTGCTCATAGGGACACTATGCCTCTCAGGCACTTAATCATCGCCTTAAAATAACCTGTTTATTAACACACAAACTGCTTTGGCTATTGCATAAACTATATTTAGTCCAAACAGAACAAGTAGGTGACCACCTAATAAACCTTGTACACGCTCTTCCCGTGCTTGTATACATTTAGCACTGCTTCTGGCCTTGGGTTCTCTTCATATTGTCTGAGCCAAGGTCGTATAGCTTCCTCAAACAGACATAACAAACGTGAGGAAGGAGTGGGATTGGCCTCACAGAAGCATCTGCTCCCAATTTAGGCCAAACTGGCTATGCTAATGGAAAATTAGCATCCTCAAGGGGGGCTTGGGAGTGTTGAAGAGCATTTGCTGTGGATGTACTAGTTTTGGCAATTCATTCAATGGTTTGTTAAATCCTGCTTTTCAATATCTTTTCAAAGGTTGGACAGTATATCAACTTAGTAAAGTATATATAAAAAAACAACAACATAGGATAAGACAATCTCAGTTGAACTTCACAGACTTTACTAAAGGAGTGCTGTAGCGCACATGTCAAACAGATGGAGTGGAATTAAATAGGAATGCAATAATTCTGAATAAATGAATGTTAACTTAAAGGGATTAATCAAAAATCAACAACTACCATTACAAGATAATTACAATATGATTTTTGGTTCAGCATTTTAGAAACAACTGCTTTTACCATGCTAAAAGTCCAACAGTTTCTGTCAGCATCCATGAAGATCAGTAGGGCAAATAAGGAGAAGTCTTTGTTTTTTCCAGCAAATAAAAAGAGCTTGGATTACTTCCCCTGAACTTCCTCCCTGTGAAGGCAGGGGCGGGAATGGAAAGTCAGCTCCTGATGATAGTTTTTCCCACAAACATGCCAGGAGGAGCGCTGATATGAGAGCTTCACTTGAACCTCATCTGCTAATTTAAAATCCAAGTCTGGAAAACCATCATTGGCACAGAATACTAGCTCACTGCTTATGGTGTAGTATGCATAGAATGCTGCCTACTATTAAAAAAAATGTGAAACAGTAAATATTATGTAACAACACACATTCAAAACAGTCAAATGACTTCATTAAGGCAAGACACCACATGTGAATAGGGTAATATTTAATAGATATTACCAAACTTCCCCAGATGATTGACCACAGTACATTAAAACAACTGTTTTGTATCACCAGTCATCTGTAGTTATGTTTAAATATGCAAACACTGCATTATCTAATTAAATATGCACTAATTTGCATACATTTACAGACTAGAAATCTGGGCCCGTAGCCCCATATTCACAAAACATTTTATCTTACCACTAAGGAGTTATCCTAAATAGCAGTTAAAATTTTTAGCTAAGAGTTTTCTCTTAAAACCTATTCACAAAGCTGCTGAGACAAACTTTTACTAAGGAATAAAGAGAAGTCTTAAGCTAAGAGTAAGGGCGGGGTTGACCTCGTTGCTATGGATGATGTCAGCATGCTTACTAACTATGCACACAGTGATTGGCTGGTAGGGGAGGAGTCTCTGTCAGAGATTAATTCATATAAATATTGTAGAGTGCAATATTATGTTGCCATATTCAAATAAACATTTAAAAATAAAAATGTTATTTGCCACATTCAAATAAAGATTTTAAAATGCAAGTGTCATGTGTCATATATTCTGAATCGCCTTAACGAGTCGTCATATTTTCGAATCTTTTGTCTGTTACTGATCAATGTCACTGGGTAACACATTTGCATAACCCCCGCCTGCCCACGAAATACGAACATTCTGCTTCTTTTGTTTTCATTGCCAAGATGATGTAAAGAACCAGTAGTTAAAATTCAAACCTTTTGTTTTGTGCTCGTCATTTTACCGAGGACTGCTTTTCTAATCTTGCCTTTTATCTTCTTCGGCTTCTAAGTTAATCTTTATTTGGACCAACAAGCATCTCCGAACCACAAACTGTAAGTAGGGGTGTGCGATATTGACAAAAAATAATATCTCGATATTTTCTGGGATTTTATCGATAACGATAATTAGACAATATTTTGCGGAGTGTGTTATTGTGTTGATATCTTAAGGACTGCCATAGACAGCGGACTCCTAAAGTTTTTGATATTCTTCATAATCTGTGTGGTGGTCAGTTCACACTGATAGCAATTAATCTTTTCCAATAAGTTTAAACTGATTTTTACATTTTATGGCCATTTTTACCTTTATAAAGCCATTTTTTCTAAAAGTGTCCATTATCTTTTGAGTCAAATTCTTACATTTAATCAGTGAATTAGAATAATAAGACATTTGGGCTTTTACCAAGCAAATCAGTATCAACAAAATTCATCTTTGCAATGCAGAGGAAACACAAACGCTGCATCTGAAGTGGTATTTAGATATATTTACACACTACTGTTTAGTGCAGAAGATGAATGCATTTAACCTGCAATTACACATGCATAAATAATGTTTTGATATATTAAACATAAAACGTTTGAAATTATTTAAATAATAAAAGATACCCTGAATGTGAAATTAAAATCGCCAGTAGGGGGCAGAAAGTCACTGTTAATAAGTGAGTCATTGCGATTGAACCGAGTCATTTAAACGTTTGATTCATGGTGTCTAATATGTCTCTTAATTAACTTCTTGTTTAGCACATTTCACATTTGTAATCATTCATTAGAAAAAAAAAACGGCACTCTTTGTTTGATATTGATTAACTATATGAAATGGTATAAATATATACATTTTCTGCCATCATGTCATGAATTTGTGATCATTCTAAATGTATTGTAGACTGAATCATGCAGTGAAAGAACGCATTCTAAATGCGCACGCGCACTAGTTTAAACTTCACGTAATGTATGCGTGCACTCTGTAGGGTGCTTTGAAAGGTTTTTGCAAAATACTCGATAACGTCAAATCACACATCGTTAAAACAACGATTAAGATATTATCGCAGACGATATATATCGCACACCCCTACCTGTAAGTACGATTGATACGTGTGTACATTTTCAGTTGAGTGCTCAAAATAGCAAGTTGTTTGTGCTAATATGTGATGCAAGCCTATACCTAGTGCAGCATTAGGTTTCCAGGTAAACCACGATATTACTGTCTTACTGAAATAGCTCTGATAATTCACTGTGAACCCACTATTTCCTAAGAATGTGTCGATTAATGTAGACTGTCGTTGTTCTAATAACTTCGTTTAATAATAAAGAATGTAGTGTAGCACACAGACTTTATAATCATTGTGAAATTGCTGTTTATTTTGCTGCACTGGCAGTTACAGGGTTAATGCAGGAAGTAAAAGACCCGGTAGAGAGAGATAAGCGAGTTAGTTGCGCCTGTGATACAGCTGTTCTGCTTTCTAATTGAAGGTTCAGACACGGATCATCTTTTGTCTGTCGTTCTTCAGACATTACAGTAGACATATTTTGGTTTACAAACAGTACAGTTTCTTCAGTTAGTCACGTTAGCACTCGGCTAACGTATCCACCATTATTGTCTTATGTGTTTACAGTTTAGCAACTAAACTTTAGCTGATGGCACGATTCGCTTGCATAAGTGTTAAACTAAATGTTAAACTATATTATTGTTTTATATAAAGGTAGCGCTCGCAAACTTGCTCAAGTACTTCTCTCTGTGCCAATCACAACAGGCTTGGCCAGCTGACCAATCAGAGCAGAGTAGGCTTATGGAAGGGAGGGGTTTACAGACAGATGTTTCGAACGAACCGTTTCAAAATCATTGAGATGTAATTATGCATAATTTATAGTTATTTTAATAATAAGTACATGTAACCTGTGTAACAAGGACACCTTAAAATAAAGTGTTACCGCATTAGTTTAAAGCCCGTGCAGACCTCTAGTTCATATTACACGACCGAAAGCGCATGTTACGTGACCAATCATGCACACTGCAGCATCATGCTACATAAGACAATAAATACGATTTACAGTGGGTACGGAAAGTATTCAGACCCCCTTCAATTTTTCACTCTTTGTTATATTGCAGCCATTTGCTAAAATCCGAGTGTTTGTAATAACTTTCGATTGCCAATGTGCGTTTTGGCCATGTAATGTTGCTGAAATAGGCCTATGTTATTACCTCTGAGTCAGAACAGCGATCATGGAAGAGAGAACCACAGGCAGACAGCGCTGGAAGCTGCTAATGCTCATCAGTAAATCAGTGGAAAATTAATAGAAATGATGATTCTGTTTGAGCTATTTTAAGATAATGTAATGTAATTGTTAAAATTTATTTCATAAAATTGGTATCGAAAAAAGTATCGTTCAGGAACCGGTATCGAACTCAAGGTATCGGTGTCGAAAATTGTTGAACTATACCCAGCCCTATACAAGAGTTAAAGGGGATTTTGGATCTCTCTTTATATATATATATATATATATGATAAGATATAATTATATATAAATATACTTTGATCTTGAAAATGCATCTGAAAATTAAATGCAGAACATAGAGTGAGTTGCTGCAGGAAAAATGTCCTAAACATGAGATGCATTTAATAGTAAGAGTTTAAACCAACTCAGCATACAGTTTAGAGCAGCAGAACATTTAGAGCAGCATACAGTTTACAGTTTAGAGCAGAACAACTGAGAAGTGTTTTTCTCAGCGAATAAATTGCATCTTATGGATTTATTCTTAAATGTAAATGTTAAAAAGTCCCACAAGTATTTCTATTTTGAAAAAAAAGACTTGTCCTGACTTATTGCTGCAGAGTGTGTTGTGTTGCAACAGTAATGACAGACATTATTTAAAATTATTTTAATAGAAAGCCATAGTTTGTTCTGTAAACGAAGGGCTCATAACATGAGAAATCAAATTTGCCTTGATCTTCTGACATATAAGAGGTTTTATAACATTAAAACATCTGGAAAGTTTCATAGCTTAAAACATCCTTCTCATTATAAACAAAGCATTTAGCTAATCAAGCTCCAAAAACTGCTTTTTTCAATGGGGGATCTGAGGCATCACGGGGCAAATGCATTTGAATATGACTGCCTCCAGTCCAGAGCAAGACATCCAAAGCAGCCAACTCATTTGGATGTGACAGCAGATGCATCACAAGCCATAAGTAAATGATTCCATAATGCTTTGTCTTTAAATTAGGGCTGCAACAAACGATTATTTTGATGGTCGATTAATCTAACGATTATTTAGACCGATTAATCGACTAGTCATCGATTATTTCACTGATTACTCAGTAGACATTTATTGATTATTTCGCTTTTGCAACTAGTTAATATTGAGCTATACATATTCTAACAAATAAATTAAGGTAATCACTTCAGCTTCAGTCATATTATGTAATTACAGGTATACAATTAATTTATACAAATAAATATATTTGGCACACAAAATTCCTATACTTGCTGCATTTTTTTCTCAAAAATTGCAGCAGTATTCGCAGGTTTTGTGTGTGTGTGTGTGTGTGTATGTATGTGTGTGTTGCTTTGCAGTGAAAACATACCAATAATCATGATGTACTCATGTTCTTAGTGTTAGTGACAGTAAAAGTACAATTACCTGTGAATATGTTTGTGCATAATTGCTGAAATTATGGTCCATGTCCCACATGTACAAGGCAATGGTGTCACCAGCATAGAAATATTCATAATCCTGCTTTGCTGAAAATACATAATTGTGTTGGACACAATTTTAGAGTATCAGAAAAAAATAATAGCGTTATGATACTTATACATTTACATTTAGACATTTAGCAGACGCTTCTATCCAAAGCGACTTACAAATGAGGACAGTGGAAGCAATCAAAATCAACAAAAGAGCAATGATACGCAAGTGCTATAACAAGTCTCAGCTTAACGTAGTACACGTAGCAAGGTATTTTTTAATTATATAGGGTAAATGTACCTATTAAGCTCACCAAAATCTACATTGAGACATTTTTAATGCACAAGATATTGGTTTCAGTACAAAAAGTTGTTAAAATAAAAGATTAATCTCGCACACAAAAATATTTAATTTGATTTTAAATGACAAAAGCATTTCAATTAAGATATACATCATTAAATGCAAAAAGTCCGGCTGTGCTTAATGGGTACATGTTTGTACCCTTTAAGCACACCCCTGTTCCCATTAAGCTCACATCATGTTTTATTAAAAATTCTTGTTTATTTTAAACAACTTTTTTAAAGAATATATATATTTTTTTGAATGTACAAAGTCAATCACAAAAAAAAACAGAACACAAAAATCAAGCCACAAGGCATTCACAGTAGTTGCCAAAGGTCAGAGCCAGTCTGCAGATTTGAGTTCACAGAATCTATAGAAAATCAATTAACTAACTTAAAGTGATAACCATCAGTTAATATTTAAAGTCTTTACATAGACGTTCAATGTGGAAGAGCTTAAAGAGTGCACACTGAGCTTAATGGGAGCAGAAACAATTTTTTATAAATTTCATGTAATTTTTATTAAAATGACAAGGTTTTGCAAAATAAATCATCTAGGTCATGCATTAAGTTTATACATATTTTATTATGAACAACTATTATTAACAATATCTATGAAATTATACTTTTTCTTATTGATGTCACACTGAAGCTGTGTGATTTTCATAGTAGTGCACCCTTTAAGCTCACCTTACAAGCAGCAACAATTTTTAATATATTTCATATTTATTAAAATGACAAGATTTTGCTAAATAAATAGACTAGGTCATGTATTAAGGTCATATATATTTTAATATGAACAACTATTATTAACAATATCTATGAAATTATACTTTTTCTTATTGATGTCACACTGAAGCTGTGTGATGTTCATAGTAGTGTACCCTTTAAGCTCACCTTAAAATAATGAAATCTTTAAAAAATACTGCAGTTTAAAACCACAGACCAGCAATAAACTATCAATTTATAATAATATGGATGTAAAAGTACAAGCCAGTAATGCCTGTGAAGTAGTATATTAGCGTAGCACACAATCTTATACAGCTAGTCAGCTAATTGTTTTCTGTAGCATCTGCGCTATGTTGCTAAAACTATCTTTTGGATCGAACTGTAATTATTTCCCACATCCAAGTTTCAGGTTATAATATACAAAAGTCTAAACATTAATCTCTTAATTTTACAGTAAGTTGTGAAACTTACCCAAAATAAAGGCTTAAACATCTAAAAGGGGCTCCTCTTTTGGTGAAAGTTTTCAGACAGCTTTCAAAATGGCCGCCAGACAGTGTGAACACATGGACAACCATATCTCAGTGTGCAATGATCTGATTGACTTGAAATTATAGGAGGTAACAAACATATCAATTGGTTAAGACATCAAATAGGATAATAAATTATTTTTTCTTTTTATAATCTGAGCTCAAAAATGGAAGTGTGCTTAATGGGTACGTGAGCTTAATAGGTACATTTACCCTATATATTTAAATAGAAAGCAGTTATTTTAAATAGTAAAAACATTTCACAATATTACTGCTTTTGCTGTATTTTA